TGTAGTCGTCTTTGTCTAACATTCTTCCTTCATTGTTCTCAACTCTTGCTAGTGAACTCTTGTTGTTTTGCCAAGTAAATACGTAAGTCTTGTAAAATGCAAGAAACACAACAATCAATCATTCTACCCGTGTTTTCCCCATAGTCCAGCTCTTAGTATAGAGTGACGTTCCGCATGGTGCAGTAAGCATGGACAATCCCGCAGATTACCTTTGGATTAGTTGCCAACTTACCGCATATTTATGTCGTTGTTAAGCCAGCAGCCTGTGGAAACCATGATGCCTATCCGGGTAAAAACGGGCGGTGTAGAGCATAGCTTGGAGGCACAGTTAGCTGATGTTAGGGGACGCCACGCGAATGGCGAGTACGGTGGGGCGGACGTGGAAGTGCTGCTCATAGGAATTCGCGTGCAGTAAGCGCGCGGGCATTTGACACCCCGTGCTGAAGTGGGTGGTCCGTTCTCCTCTCCTCGACCGGCGCACAACGAAGGTGGCGTCGAAGAGCCGGTCGACGTTGGCGACCTAGTCAATTGTGCTGGAGGCACGAGCGTGACCAGATTAGTAATCAGGGCGCCGCCGACAATATCAGTCAGAATCAGGCGAGGTCGGCTGCGGCTGCAAGCAGCTCGCATGTTGACGTCGACGGACGGCGACACTGTCCCTCGCGAAGCAATATGCGGCAAACATCGGCGACCCACGTGATGAGTGGCAAAAATTCGCCAGCCTATGGGTACTTCAAGTTCTTGCCGAACAGGATCACCGTGCACACAGTGCTGGAAGGCCGACGTGACCTGATCACGTGAAGGGAGTCGATTGAGCCCCAATTAGAAATTACCCAAGGGCTGAAGTTCTTTCTTGACGGCATTGTGGAGACGCCGCACGAGACCGGCATCTAGCTCAATGCGGAATTTTGCGTCACCCTTCATGGTCATCTAGCGGTGTTGCTTGCCGATGGTACGGATCGTCTTGACGGCGACCACCAAGCATGTCGGTTCATCATGTCGATATACCAGAAGACCAACGACCTACCATATTCACTTGGATATAAGATCCAGGGGCTTTCCTAAAATGGAGGCAAAATGACCAGGGTGAACATTTAATGGGAACGAGTTGTAAGAGTCCCGGGTACACTTAATAATTATGTACACTTATGCAATTTTGGGGTGTACACTTGAATTTGAAGGGGGGGGGGGGGGGGGGGGGGGGGGGTCTTATGTTTGAACCGAAAATATCTCGCGTGCGCGAAACTCGCGCGTCAGAAGCGTGAGAGTTCGCATCTGACATGATTGGTGTGTCAGAACCCGAATCTTACACAGATGACGCGTCAGATTTCGGATTTTGTGCCTCTAAAAGCTGACGCGCATATTCATTAAAACTACTGTATACAGAAAGAGGGGTCTTCAAAAGCTTTTGATATTATTTAGAGTCCCAGACCCGAATTGAAGTCCCGGGGGTCATTTTTTCGGGAGGGTCCTATATCCGGGAGAATACGGTATACATCAGCCATCTAAATGTGGTTTGCTTGTTTGACAGCCAACAAAACACACAATAACCAGCCAAAAGCAGCCAAAAAACAACAAAAGAAGCCCTACGACCCAGTGAATGCAGCTGATGCCTTCAGTTTTGGAGTATGGAGATCTTGTCTCCTTGTAAGGCAAAGCACACAAGGGCACTCTCCGTGCCTTGAGCCTATTGGCCTGAAGTGCCCTGTTTGCAAGAAGCAACATCTGGAACAGTGGTTGATAGGTGCTAACACAGGGGCCGTGACAAGAAACACACAGCAGCCACGGAACACACAGCAGCCAAGGAACACACATGCACAGCACTCAGCACCTACCAACACAGGTTCCAGGATTCTGCCAGTCATCCTCATAAGCCTTGTCACAAACACAAGTGGCCCCTCCATTAGTGGTGTCACAGTGCATGTTGGCTCCACAACTGGGATTGCATGGCCCTGCGTGGTGGTAGAGGCGACCGAGAGGGGAGAGGGGTGGAGAGGACGTGAAATGAGGGGTAGTGGGGTTCAGGATTGAAGACGACAAGATATTTAAAAAACGAGATGTTGGGAACACATGAGTGGTGAAGCCGCTGGCACTGGAGGCAGCACAGCAGCACGTCAAGCGAGCATCACCCACCGGTCTCAGCTGGAGGTTGGTGTTGCACGTGCCATCACTCTGCACCTCGGAACCATCGTCAGAAATACACTGTTGCAATCCAGAAAGGATGGCACAGTGCTGGCTCGCACCACATATCAGACCGCATACTGTGTGGGGGGGGAGGAAATGGGGGTGATGCGTGGAGGACATGGGTGAGGGTGGCGTCATTGAATCGAATCACATGGGGCTGTGTTGCCTCAATGCTTGTTCGCACCTCATCTCATTGAATGGAGTCACATGGGCGCTGCTGGGTGGGGGTGGAGGCGACGCCAAGGGAGGGAGATGGGTGGAGGGGATGTGAGATGAGGGGTGGTGGGGTTCAAGATTGAAGGCGACAAGATAGTTTACACGAGATGTTGGGAACGCATGAGAGTAGTGAAGCCATGGAAATGACAAGACACTTCACTTGGGATGCTGGGAATGCGTGAGAGTAGTGAGTCCATTGGCACCGGAGGCAGCACAGCAGCAGTTCAAGCTATCATCACCCACCGGGCTCGGTTGGTGCAGGGTCGGTTGGTGCAGGATCGGTTGGTGCAGGATCGGTTGGTGCAGGATCGGTTGGTGCAGGATCGGTCGGTGCAGGATCGGTTGGTGCAGGATCGGACGGTGCAGGATCGGTCGGTGCAGGATCGGACGGTGCAGGATCGGTAGGTGCAGGATCGGTTGGTGCAGGATCGGTTGGTGCAGGATCGGTAGGTGCAGGATCGGTAGGTGCAGGACGGATTGGTGGACGGATTAGTGTAGGTTGATCCAGGTCGGTCTTCAATGCAGGTTTCACTGGTTGAGGGAGAGAGGGAGAGACGGAGAGAGGGAGAGCGGGAGAACGATGGGTGAGAGAGCATTGATTTCTCAACAAGCAAGAGATGGCATAACGATGGGTCAGAGAGACAGTAATTGCTCAACGCGTGGAACTTACCAATACAGCCGATAGCCCTGACCATATCGATTGGGAGGCCGGGCATGCAAACACAAACTGCACCGATGGGCGCAAGCTCGCAGTATGACAGATCCGGATCACATGCCGGAGTGCACGCGGATGAGGTTGTTGTCGGGGTTCCTGTTGGTGTGAAAGAACAAGGTCCAGGTGAGGGTGGATGTAGAGAGAAACATGAGAAACATATCGTGTAACAGATGAGAAACATATCGTGTAACAGATGAGAAACATATCGTGTAACAGATGAGAAACATATCGTGTAACGGATGAGAAGGACAAGGACACTCTAGCACAAAGAATGAGATTCAGACAGGAGGGGCGCAAGGGACATGGAATGAGGGGTGGTGGGGTTCACGATGGAAAGAGGGACTTGGCACGAGATGCTGGGAATGCGTGATAGCAGTGAAACCAATGGCATCGGAGGCAGCACAGCAGCACTTTGAAGGTAGCATGACCCACCAGGTGCAGGAAGCCGAACGGGTGCAGGATCTTCGATCTTCACAGGTGGGTTGCACGTCTTGCCATCCGGCTGCAGCAGGAAACCCGAGTTGCACACAGGACGCCACTCCAGTAACGCTGTCCTTACTGCACTGGCCGTTCACGACATCACAATTCTTAATTGCGCAGTTATCCGGGATGGGGGAGGGATGGGAGAGAGAGGAGAGTAAATGTGGAAAGATGTCACCAAGAGGTTGCTTGAGAGAGCAATGAGAAAAGAGCACACACACACATACGCGAGCGCCAAAACACGCACACAGTCACACACACAGGACGCCGCTCCGGTAGTGGTGTCCTTGCTGCACTTGCCGTTGACACCACAGTTCTGAATCTCGCAGGTGTCTGGATGGGGGGATGGTGGGGTAGAGAGGAGAGTAACGGTGGAGAGACAAAGAGGTAGCTTGAGAGAGCAATCCGGAAAGAAACACACAGTCACACACACACACACACCCACAGTCACACACACACACACACAGTCACACACACACACACGTGCGGGCTACAAGGGCACAACGCAACCGGCGAACGCACCAGTGCATTTGCCGTTTGCCAAGGCGAATCCAGTCTTGCACACGCAGGTCGCAAGGTTGCCATTCTTCACACAAGTGGAATTGGCATCCAGGCCCGGGCAGTTCTTGACGATGCACACATCTGATGATGCACAAGGGGACGGCTCGGATTGAAGGAGAAAGGAGACGTCAAAATAAGACCTTAAGAACAAGAGCAGTGTATTGGACAAGGGGACGGACCGGATCGAAGGAGAAACGGGATGTTAAAATATGTCGTTGAGAAAGGAACGACCGACCAAGGATTAAGCACAGCAGCACACAGAAGCTCCTCAGCACAGCAGAGTAGGGTCAGCACGTACCAGTGCAAGTCTTGCCATCTGCCTGCAGTGCGAAGCCAGTGTCACACACACAGGACGCCGCTCCAGTAATGTCCTTGATGCACCTGCCGTTGACGCCACAGTTCTGAATCTCGCAGGTGTCTGAGTGGGGGAGGGGTGGGGGAGGAGAGTAAAGGTGGAGAGGAGTCACCAACAGGTAGGTTGAGCGAGGAATAGAAAATGGAAAGACACACGAGAACACACAGACACATACACATAACACACAGTCACACACACACACAAAGAGTCGCAAATTCACAGAATGAAGTGCGGGCTACAATAGCACAACGCAACCTGCGAACGCACCAGTGCATTTGCCGTTTGCCATGGCGAATCCAGTCTTGCACACGCAGGTCGCAAGGTTGCCATTCTTCACACAAGTGGAATTGGCATCAGAGCCCTGGCAGTTCTTGATGATGCACACATCTGATGATGCACAAGGGGACGGACCGGGATTGAAGGAGAAAATGAGAACTCAATATAGGTCATTGAGAACAATGAGAGCAATCAGAAATCAAAACACACACATCATGCACAAGGGGACGGACCGGATTGAAGGAGAAACGAGATCTCAGAATAGGAGAGCATGCACCAGCACAACAGAACATAGAAGCTCGTACCAGTGCACGTCTTGCCATCCGCCTGCAGCGCAAAGCCAGTGTCACACACACAGGACGCCGCTCCAGCGCTGTCCTTGACGCACTTGCCGTTGACGCCACACGCCTTGAGCACGCATGTGTCTGGGGAAAAACGGGGAAAAAAGGGGAAAAAAGGGAGGGGGCAGAGAGTTCGGCGAGTGAGGGGAGATCACGGAAATTACTGCCCACGTGACAAGCCTCAATCTGACATGAAGCTCTAACAAGGCTGTGGTGGTGAGCAGAGCAGGACTCACGAGCAGCAGCAGTCACCAGCAGCAGCGACACCCACCAGCAGCAGCAGTGACTCACCAACACAGCCGGTGGGGGTCATGGCGAATCCAACGTTGCAGACGCAGGTGGCATCGCCCCTGTCCTTCACGCACACCGCATTGAGTGCCGCACAGTTGCGCTGCTCACGAGTCTGGCGTTCACAGGGACCAGAGAGAAAGAAAGGATCCAGGACGAGAGGAACGGAGAGAGGAACGGAGAGGCAACGGAGAGGCAAAGAAAGAAAAGAAAGAGATGAGGAGAGGAAAAACGAGGAGACAAAAAGCGAGGTGAGATGGAGCATGCACACGTGGAGAGCAGAGAGAGGCGGTAGTGAATCGCCTCAAGGTAGGATGGTTAAAGACGAGACTGGAGTAAGGCCGACGAGACGAGACGGGCAAGGCCGCAAGGGTGCGTTCAACGCTCTGGAATAGGCGGCTGACTTACGGTCGGCGGCGTTGCTTTGAGGTGGCAGGCGAACGGCGGCTGTCATGGGCGCACACGCTGAGCACGAAATGGGGAGAAGGCGGGGTGGGGGGGAAAAGAAAGGGAAAGGGGAAGAACCGAGGGGGAATGCCATTCCAAGTGGGATGAGAGGAGGGGGGGAGGGATGACTATGGCAGGCGATCGGCAGTAGTGGGAAAGAAGGGGAACGTGGGAAGCGGGGAGAACCTGACAGCAGATCCAAGAGCATGAGAGCGCACCTGAGAGCATGAGAGCGCACCTGAGAGCATGAGAGCGCACCTGAGAGCATGAGAGCAGCGACCAGGAGGCCCAAGCTCCGCGGCACAGGCACGGCGTGCGAAGCCATGGTGCTGTCAATTCCCGCAGCCAACAGGTGGGGCGAGAAAGACGAGAAGGGCTGCACGCAGCAGCGGCAGCACTGCTGCGCGGATGAGAGACGATGAGCCTCCGAGGGCTCAGTCGTGGCGTGTCACGAGAGGAGTGGAAGGAGAGGCGATGTGTGGAAATGAGAACCGAGAGGCTAACTAAGTACTACTACGACTCTGTCCTCCTCCCCCTCACTCCCCTGAGGCGGGGTTCTCCACCACCACTCGCCCCCGCCGCACATTTCCTCCCCCCCCCCCCCCCCCCCCCCCCCCCCCCCCCCCCCCCCCTTCCCACGTTCGGGCAAGGAGGAGGGGAGGGCGGGGAAGGGGAAACGCGCGGCGCTGGACCATCGCATCGCATGGGCCAATGAACGACAAAAGCCATGTGGTTTCGTAGTTGGTACGAAATCATGAACCACACGAGCTTGCAAATTTTGACGGTCAGGATCCACCTTACTACTACACGAGTACTGTGTGCCTTTTCCGCACTGCGACAGCGCGTGATCCATCGACCACGATGGGATGGAACGCGCGGATATCGCCGAGCGGATATCGCCGAGCGGCTAAGTACAGTACAGTACGATCTGACTGTCCCCCTTCACTCCCCTCTGCTCAAGCTGAGGGGAGGGGAGGGGATCCCTCCCCCCGATAGACGTCGCCAAACTTGGCGGAGACGGGGAGGATGGGGTGGGTTGAACATTACTCTGTCTGACGTGGGCCATTGAACGACAGAAGTCCAGTGTTTTCGCAGTCTGGTAAGAACCGTTCTTTAACACGAAGTCAAGATCACACATCTGACTAGAGACAAGAGGAACGCCTGCTTCGTCCGCTTCGACTGCTTCGAATGCGCGTCGTGCAGCGCACGAAAAGAGGCACTGACGACACACCCCACCACCCGTTCAAGGTGTCGGGTAGTATTAGCTGTGATGATATTTTCTGAAGATAACCTAAACTACACCCTGTTTCTCGCCATTGTGAATTCGGTTATAGTGAAGTCAAGATGGGAAAAGCAAGGTTAACGGTGGTTAGATTAAGTCTAGGTATGGTTCAATCAGACAAATCGAAGGTAACTAGGTTTTCCATCAGTTCAGCACAGTTCAGTGTAGTGAGAAAGAGGGTGTACGTGCGATGTCATTGGCGGACGTCGATTACCCCACGACGGTGCTTTGGTCCACAAAACCACCGATGCTCGGCGCGATATTTGACGCGAGGGGAGGGGACCCGAGAGGGCGGGTGGGGGAGAGAGAAGGAACTTCCCCCTTTGAGTGGTGGGTCGGAAAACGCGCTGGCCGATGAGGCGCGAGTCTGCGCGTTTGTCACCGCGCCGGAGCGGCGCACCTTTTCTGCGGCGGGTACACGACAAGTCTGTATCGACATGGCAGACCAGCCTTCAAGGTGTCGGGTACTGGAGTGACAGCTGTCATGATATCTCCTCACCCTAGATCATGTACACTGTAGTACATGCGATGTGTCATTGGCTGCCTAGATTACCCCTATGACGGTGCCTGAAAACGACGGAGCCAGAATCCGTCGCATCGGCCAAAATCCGTCGCATCGGCTCGGAAAATGCCCTACCGTGCGGCGCGATCCCATCAACCAAACAATCGAAAGAAAATGGGGCTTGCGTGATCCTTTGAGTGACTGTGGTCCTTTAAAATCGGATATTCGCAACAGTGACCATTGTCGTTAGCCTGGTTCAAGCCTCTCTCCTTGGCGGATATGTATTCGAGCGCAGTCGAAGGTATTGACGTGGGAGCTCTATCGTATTGCGGAGGCTATCGTGCAACGAACGAAAAGTTTCAGCCTACAAGGCTGAAACGTACTACTAGTAGTAGAAGCGTCCATCTGAGCGAAGGATATCGTGCAAAATACGAAAGGTATCGGCCTACTCGTACTACACCTACCGGTTGTTATGAGTTGTTAGGCCCGACGGCCTAAGTCCGCTAAAGAATTAGCGGGGTCGACTAAGTCTAGGATGAAATGCGGCGGAAGACTTTGGCGAAAGAACTATTGGCAAAATAGGCGAAGAAGTTACTTAGTAATTGAAGAGTTGAATGAGAATTGATTGATAATGCCAAGTACAAGCAAGGTTTAAGTAGCAAGCAAGAAACAAGGTTGGAGAGTAGATTGTGGGACTAGGAATTGTGAAGCTAGAAAAGTAGAGTGCCACGTGGCACTAGAGAATCCAAGAAGATAAGGATAAGGATGAGTTGGATGGGTTGGGAAAGTACTGTTCAAAGGAAACAGTAAATCCCCCCTTAACACTACCCCCCTCCCAAGGAGGCGACGTCCGCGGCGCCTGCAGACTGGAGGTACGCTTGGAGGCAAGCGTTGTCGGGAGACAGCGAGGACGAAGGAACCCAGCTGTCGTCTGCTGCGTCGTAACCACGCCAACGAACCAAGTGTCAGAGGTCCACTGGTGATCCCCGATTGATCCTAGGGAAGGGTTACAGGCACGGTTGCCTGGGGGGTTATGGGCGCACTGACCCGCTACTTAAACAAGCCCTTTTATCCCAATGGTCTAGTGGTTGGGATTCTGACATGGTATCAGAGCGAAGGTCTCGGGTTCGAATCCCGGTGTATGCACTTCGGGCATCCCAGTGCGGGGGGGTGTCAGAGGTCCACTCGTGATCCCCGATTGATCCTAGGGAAGGGTTACAGGCACGGTTGCCTGGGGGGTTATGGGCGCACTGACCCGCTACTTAAACAAGCCCTTTTATCCCAATGGTATAGTGGTTGGGATTCTGACACCAAGAAGTCGATGAAAGGGACACCCCCCTGGAGACGGCGACGGTGCCTGAGGATGCGTTGGATCTGGTAGTCGGGCTCGTCGGTGTCAACAGCTACTGGCAGTGGAGTGCGGTCACGGCCCGAGAAGGTGGCGTTGGGATCGGTGTAAGGACGAAGAAGCGATACGTAGAATGACAGGTGCATGCGGAAATGAGCGGGAAGGCGGAGGCGGTATGTGACTGGACCAAGCGCGCGCTCAATGACGAATGGACCAATGAAACGTGGACGAAGCTTGCTGTCCTGTGGCAGTCGGAGGTTGCGGCTATCCAAGAGAACACGGTCGCCGACTGCGAACGACACCTCACGACGACTGCAGTTGGTGGTGCGTGCCATGCGTGCATTTGCGAGCTCAAGGTGCTTCCTCACGTGATCATGAATGAAGGTGACATGCTGGTGGAAGTGGTCCGCACGAGGGACTGTGGGTGTGAGATCGACACGAGTGGGGACATTGGGGTGCTGACCGTACAGTGCGAAGAACGGTGACATGCCTGTGGACGAGTGATGCGTGTTGTTGTAGGCGAACTTGGCCATGCTCAGCTTCTTGTCCCATGCGGCTGCGTCGTGCATCGTGATGCTGCGAAGAATCTGCTCCAAGGTCTGGTTCACACGCTCGGTCTGTCCGTCTGTCTCTGGATGGTACGCAGACGACATGGCTAAGCGAGTCCCGAACAGTGCGAAAAGCTGCTTCCAGAACTTCGAAGTGAAACGAGGGTCGCGGTCTGAGATGATGGAATCTGGAACCTCGTGCAGTCGGACTACGTTATCTACGAACAGCGTCGCGGCTTCCTCTGCTGTGACCTTGCCGTGCGTGGGGATGAAGTGCGCTGCTCGAGAGAACTTGTCGACTACAACGAAGATGGCGTCGTGACCCCTAACTGTGCGCGGTAAAGCCATGCTGAAATCCATGGTGACTACCTGCCAAGGGCGGTCGGGCGGTGGAATCGGCTGCAAGAGTCCTGCTTTGCGCTGGCGAGATGACTTCGTACGCTGACACGTGTCGCACGAGCGAATGTAATCCTCTACGTCTGCTGCAAGCCCGGGCCAGTAGTACGTGCGACTAAGCGTCTTAGCCGTCTTATCTGCTCCGAAGTGACCTGCACTAACTACGTCGTGCGCCTCTGAGAGAAGGAGCTGTCGAAGAGGGCGGTAGGCTGGAACCCAAATCCGTGTGGTACCCTTCCGTATGTAGACACTACCCTGCACCTCTGCTCCTGCGGGCAGCTGCGGTGTGAAGTCGGGATCTACTGTATAACCGTGCTCGAAGAGTGCTGTGAGAAGTGGGTGGCCGGCAGTGACTGTGAGACTAGCGAGCTGGCAACTAGGGCGAGTGAGTGGATCGGCAGGGTTGCGCACGCCTGGCTTGTACTCTATCCTGTAGTGGAAACTCCCCTCCATGAACTCCATCCATCTAGCCTGGCGACGACTCAGCTGCGACTCTGACTTGAGAAAGCGAAGCGAGCAATGGTCCGTGCGTATAACACTATCTGCCCCCTCTATATAGCACCTCCACACCTTATACGCATGGATGATCGCGAGCGCCTCCTTGTCGTGAATCGGATAGTTCAGCTCGGCTCCCCTAAGCTTGCGCGACTCGTACGCTATCGGCTGCAACCCGCGGCCCTGGTCCTGAAGAAGCACTGCTCCTATGGCCTGATCTGAAGCGTCGGTCACTACAACGTATGGGCGAGTGGGATCAGGGTACGACAATGTCGGTGAAGACGTGAGCGACTGCTTCATCTGCTCGAACGCCTACTGCTGCGCTGGACCCCAAACGTACTCCACGCCCTTCCGAAGTAGGTCGGTGAGTGGACTAGCGATCGATGCGTAACCCTGAACGAAACGACGATAGTAATTGGCGAATCCGAGAAAGCTCTGCAACTCCTTGACTGAGGTTGGTGCTACCCAATCCTGTACTGTTGCGATCTTCTTCGGGTCGGTCCCAATGCCACTAGCGGATACGACGTGTCCTAGGAACTCGACCTCAGGGAGAAAGAATTCGCACTTCGACTGTTTAGCGTACCGCTGCTCCCTCCGTAAAACCTCGAAGACCTTCTGCAAGTGCTGCACGTGCTCCTCTTTTGTCTTGGAGAATATGAGAATGTCGTCTAGGTAAACTACAACGAGCGAACCTAGGAACTCGGAGAGGACACTGTTCATGAGCGTCTGAAACGTCGCTTGGGCGTTGGTCAATCCGAACGGTAGAACCCTAAACTCGTACAACCCCTGCTTCGTACGAAACGCCGTCTTGTGCTGGTCCTCTGGAACTACGCGAATCTGGTGGTAACCCGAACGAAGGTCGATCTTGGAGAAAACTCTAGCGCCCTGCACTGCATCTAGGAGATCCTCTACTCTCGGCACCGGAAACCTATTCTTGACGGTGGCGGCGTTCAGTGCGCGGTAATCTATGCACATCCGTAACCGTCCGTCTTTCTTGGGTGCGAAAAGGATCGGTGCTGCCCAAGGCGATCTAGATGGCTGTATGAACCCCTACGCTAGGAAACGCCTAACCTGCTTCGTCATCTCCTCTGTCTCTGCTGGACTCAACCTCCGCTGCGTCTTCGCTACTGGCCTGCTCCCCGGCTCCAACTCTATTCGATGGTCTACTGCTCGGCTGGGAGGTAACCTTGGGGGCAACTCGTCGGGGAAGACGTCTGCGAACTCTGATAATAGTGCACTCACCTCAGCAGGAAGAGTCGCCTTCGCACCAACTGCTGCACTCCCTCCTTTCCCTACCTCAGCTTCCACCTCCTCAAGGAAAACCGTGAAGATCCGTGCCACACGCTTCACTAACTAGCACACATGAACAGCATTAATGATAGCTGTGGATGATATGGCCCCATCGCTCCACTGTGGCAGCTCCCAGAACTCCCCATCTACCTTGACGCTGCAGCTTCCCTGAGCCCAATCGAACTGAGTACTAACCGTGCGTAGC